TAACATACTATGGGGTAATTGCTGAGATGTAAGGTGTTTTGTCCAGAAAAACCGTCCACTTCGGCAACCCCTCAATCCGCCATTTTGAAATTAGGAGAGCTGAATTTTGTATCAAAAAAAACTTACACACCTCAGCTTTTATGTTATTTGTTACTTTTTCGAATTTTCATGTTTGCTCGTACAGAGTGGTCAAAAACGCGAATTGTTATTTTTCTCAAAAATTTCAAATGCCTGTATATTTGTACAAGTTTGGATTCAATTTTACATGAGCTTTTCTTGGTATAAGGTTTGATTCAGATAAAATCACTAAATGTTGAGTTATTAAGCCTTTAATAGTGTAGAACAACTCACCAAAATTAACGAAAAAATCGCATCATCCATGGAAACAAAAGACAAACAGTGGGCTAGTTCCATATTGCCACTAAGTGTATAGATTTGACAGAAGTTCTGCATATATCAGTTTCTGCTCAAAATTTGCCGTGCACTTAAATGGGGATTTTCCTGCAACTTTAATAGAACCTTCAAGTGATTCGCCTCATTGGTGACACTTGGATTATTTATACATTTTTTACTATTTTGCATTGCTCCACTTGATTCAAAACGTTCTCGTAGTGTAGAAAATGTTTGCGGCCTTGGATGTCGCATATTAGGGTACCGTTGCTTATAAATGCGAGATGCTAGGAAACTATTTCTTTGGGCTTCGCACAAAACGAACACCATTTCTTCTTTAGATAAATTCATTGTCAAACACGTTTTTATTGTAATGCTCACAAAGCTAATTTTGACAGTTTGTAAGAAATCAACAATTTATTTCCCATAAAAGATGTGCTAATAACCGAAAAAATAGCCGTAAAAACCCTTATGTGTCTAGTATTAAAAAAAAAAGATTATAAAAAATTGAATTCCAACTTGAACAAATATACAGGGTGTTGCATTTGAAATTTTTGAGAAAAAATACAATTTTTGACCACCCTGTATGAGAAAAAATTAAAATTCGAAAAAGTAACAAATAAGATAAAAGCTGAGGTGTGTAAGTTTTGTTTGATACAAAATTTAGCACTCAAAATTTTAAAATATCGGACTGAGGGCTTGCTGATTTAAAAAACCACAACTTTGATTAGGTCGAAATTGGGACGCCCTGTATAATGGCCAATATTTTAGAAATGTGCCCTCATTACATCCCGTAAATAGATTTTCCCAAAATGTATTTGTTTATGAGCAATATTCTGTCCAAATAGCTGTGTGATAACATACATGTTTTTAGAATAACTTCTTCCGTTTACATAAAGTTATATATACAGTTTTCGCGGGTGCTGTCTGTCATAGCACTTTCACACTTGAATGGTCATAGACAAATGGTAGGTAGTATGGTGAGAAACCATTTCATATCTAAAAAGCGCAAAAGTTCCAAATTCAGTTTTTACGGACATACTTATGTCACATATATCAGACAATATTGATCCGATCTTTTGGAAATTTTGTAAGATAACAAGGTTACCTAGGCGTAACGTACAACTAAATGGATGGTTAGAAAATCCAGAACTCAATACTTTTTAAGCTGAAATGTTCGATAATGTACAAAAAAGCCAATAAAAGGTGCTAATTACACTGATCAACAGCCAAAAAATATCCTAAATAAAATCAACAAAATATTACTATTTTTAGTGTGCTAAAACCGGAATAAAACTTATTTTTTCAATATTAGTTCAAGTTTTAGAGATACTGTAATTATATGTGTTCCTGCTGTGACAGTGTTAATATACTGTAATTCACAAGAATGCACGTGCTACATTTTTATATTCGGCAAGGAAAGATGATGTAATCGGCATAATTGTGTTACGTTATGCATACGTGTACATTATATTGTTTTATATTAGCCATTTTTTCCTCAGTTGGCTGACAGCGTTCATGCAAGATGTCTCGAAAGTGTGTAAACAATCCAGATCAGTTTTGTTACGTGTGTGGTGATGTGACTTTTGCGTCTCAGAGACGGTCTATTACTCCACTAATAACAAAGGCATATCAGCTTTATTTCGGTTGTAAACTAGGTGATCAAGACAAACAGTGGGCACCCCACATCTGCTGTAATACATGTGCTTCAAGTCTGAGGAGCTGGTTAAATGGCAAAAAACAGTCTATGCGCTTTGCTGTCCCAATGGTTTGGCGAGAGCCTACCAATCATATTAATGATTGTTACTTTTGCATGGTACCTTGTGTTGGACAAGCCACAGGTATGTCCGAGAAAAAAAATCGGTTATTAACTACCCAAACATACCATCTGCGATGAGACCTGTGCCTCACAGTGACGAAAATCCTATTCCAAAACCCCCAGAATCCTACTCTTGCGAATCAGAAAACGAATCAGATCATGGCGATCGAGTGATTCGTCAGGAAGAAGTTATGCCATCAACGTCAAGAGATCCTGATTTTATACCGAGCACGTCATGCCACCAACCGCACAAAATAACACAGTCAGAATTAAATGATCTTGTAAGAGATTTAGAACTTCCAAAATGTAAGGCAGAGTTACTTGGATCAAGACTGCAGCAGTGGAACTTGTTAGAAGACGATGTTTCGGTATATTTCGTAAACGCCACAAAGACTTAGAACCATTTTTCAATATGGAGAATAACTTGGTTTTCTGCAGTAACATTAACGGCTTACTGGCGGCTTTAAATATAAACTATAACCCAGAAGAATGGAGATTGTTTATAGACAGTTCAACATTGAGTTTAAAGGCAGTGTTATTGCATATTGGAAATATTTTACCATCTCTTCCTGTAGAGTATGCAGTTCACATGAAAGAATCATATGACAATATGAAGTACCTATTGACATGCATAAAATACGATGAGCACCAATGGCATATTTGTGGCGATTTGAAAGTTGTTACACTTTTACTTGGCTTTACTAGGCTACACAAAGTTTTGCTGTTTTTTGTGTGAATGGGACAGTCGGGCAAAGGCACTTCTTCATTACACCAGACAAAACTGGCCTGCTCGTCAATTTCTAGAGCCAGGTCAAAAAAATGTACAGCATATGCCTTTAGTAGATTCGAAAAAAATTTTATCACCACCACTGCATATCAAGTTGAGCCTAATGAAAAACTTTGTCAAGGCATAGATAGAGATGGGTCAGCTTTTCAATACCTGCGTCAGAAATTTCCAAGACTAAGTGAGGCAAAGGTTAAAGAAGGTATTTTTGTTGGGCCACAGATTCGAAATATTTTGAAAGATACACAGTTTGATAACACTTTAACAGGTATTGAAAAAACTGCTTGGAATGATTTCCGTCTGGTGGTCACTAATTTCTTGGGAAATAGAAAAGCTGACAACTATAAAACCCTTGTCAAAAATATGCCGTCATCGTATCAAAAGATGGGCTGTAATATGTCTCTTAAGATACATTTCCTACACTCACACCTGGACTTTTTTCCTGACAATTGCGGAGCCGTAAGTGATTGCACGGCGAACGTTTTCATCAGGATATTTCAACAGTGGAAAAAAGGTACCAGGGAAAGTGGAATCCTTCCATGCAGACTACTGTTGGACTCTTGATAGAGATGGTCCAGAAACGATCCATAAAAGAACAGCAAAAAGACAGCGCATATAGTGATTCTTATAAGTATATGAATCTTGTTACTTTTTTTAATATATCCTTAAAAATAAAAAGTTTTTTTTCTAAACCGCAACTAATTTTTTTATTTTATTGTCATTTTTGGATTCAGCGCCCCAAAATTAACAAAGAAGTGCACTTTTCCCACAAGATACAATTAAAAAACTAAAATTTGTTGTCCAGTGTTATTTAGCATAATAAAATAATTGCGCTTCTTTTGGTTTTGTGGAAACGGAAGTTATTCTCAAAACCTGCAAATGTTATACGATTTAGTGTAGTAACGAAAGAGAAATATCTGCTTCAAATTTAAATTTTCGCCTAACCTCAAATTGCTCATTTGACCAATCGCACTGTGTCTTCTCTCCGCCGTATCACTCGACTTCTTTATGAAAACAGAAGCTACTCTAAAAACCTGCGTCAGCTTGCAGCTATTTAACGTTTAGGGCCGCACGCGAAATATTTCACGATTCAGTTTAGTAACAAAAGAGAAGAGTATGTTTGGAATTAAATTTTTTTACTATATTTGAGTTGCTTATTATATCAATCGGTGTCGTCAGTCATATCTATACAATCACCCCTTGAAGAGCTGAGACTACATAGAGAGGCCTTACATTAACCAAAGGTATACTCGTATGTTTAAATCTTACTTTCTACGTTATAGATAGGTGAATGAAGTAGGCTTAACGGTAATCGCGTAAATAAAGGAATTGCTCTGCTCATCTGACTGTCTGTTGTTAAATTGTAGTCCTTACCACCTCTTCTCGGCAAGCTGCTGCATATACTTTGTTCTTAGATCTTTTTTCAATATCAATTCCTTGCAGCGTGACAAACAGCAACGCAACAAAATGGATAATAAAGCAGCCAATCTTACAATTAGATCCTAGTCTAAAGACTTCAGTTCAGATTCATAACATGTGTAGAAACTTCGCTGTTATACGTAAATCTAGTTTCTGATTGTTTTCAGTCAACAAAATCTCATATTCATAACTTTGAGATCACAGTGATTATAATTTGTACTCGACCAAAAGCTCACAATAGTTTATATTTAGGTCCATGCGAAACATCAATTGAAACCTCATTTTTTAAGTAGAACTTCATGTTTTTTCTCCTTTTCATTGATATTTCTAATGAAATGGTATTTTGTGATGATTGCTTCAAGTTACGTTGGTTGTTGTACCTACTGTTTACTCATAAAAGCATTAACGTTAAGCTTTCTGCAATTAATCCATTCATTCTAGATACATCTGGACATAATTCCAGTATGTTTTCAAATCCGTCCATCGCTAATTTTATCAGAGACAGGAACTGGAAAGTTTGTGTAACTTCAAAACAAGAGTCCCCAAAAGCAAGCAAATATACTATTTACTTACTAAACATGAACCTACCTGTCCGCGATCACAATACAACCGGTTTCCTTACGTCGCCTCTCAACCACCTCACTTAACCGTTCACAATGACATTTCCCGCCAATTTGGTCCTTTTAGCCGGATATCCCAGTAACGACCAGCAGGATCGGCCCGACCGAAACGAAAGAAAAGCACGTGCACCAAGGGACGCAGTGAAGTGTGTCCGCCAGCGAAGAACCGGCTCGGCGACGGTGACGATAGTCAGGACGCGACGCCCGCGGAATCACTTCGGTGAGTAGCGGACGGCGTGCTTCGCGATGGCGAAGGCCTCCACAGAGTCAGTGGCAGCACAAGTGGGTCGGGGTCGCAATAAAGTATAGAGAAGAGAGTAATAAAAACAACGGGTTTCTTGAGACCCTGCTAATTCTTGTTATCTCTTGGTCGGAATTTCTTGAAATCTCAACTAAAAGGGCAATAACAACAGACAAAATGAAGGAGATAGAAGTGCCACAGAAACCATAAGCCACATAAAAAATTGTAAAAACAGTTCAGCGTATTCTGTGGACCAGTATCTGAGCAAAAAGTGAGAACAGTCTTCAGCCAGGATGTGTTTAAGCTTTGGCATTTTTTGTTTTTATTTTTTCATTCAGATTTTATCTTTTGTTTTCATCCAGAATTTTTTGAAACTTTGGTGGTTCTTAATCTATCTATTTTTGTTCGTGAAACGCGTAGAGTAATCTCAACAAGTGAAATGAGTAGGTAACATGAAAATAAGAAAAACAGTAGACTTAACAGTAGCAGTGCCAATAAATACAAAAAAATGAGAAAGGCGTTTTGAAGTTAATAGAAAAATCTCTCCGTGAATCTGTTGAAACTGTTAGGGCTTCCTTTCATTTTTTGTTGAATATAAATAAATGATGCAAGCTCAGCGTTGCTAACATTTGATGCTTATCACCCTTGCAAAGAGATGTTTATTGGCAAGAAATCAGCTTAAGATAAGATATATATATATATATATATATATAACTTGAGACGTGGTCATTGTCGTCTAGACCAGTTAGGTGAAAAATTAAAGCTTCCGCCTTTTGTTGGGCACTTCGACAAAATTTAAGCAAAGAGGACTCTTTATACTTTTTTTAATTCTCTCTAGCTTTCAATGGACTTTGCCATCATCATCAGGAGCTGCAATTACAATGTTAACAGTAGCAACAATAGTGTAAAATGAATTTAAATTGACTTAACTTACAGTAGTATGTGAGGATGTTCCTAATTGGTGTTTACGTTTAGGATGAGGGAAACGCCCAGTAACATGTGTAGTGAAACGAGGGCAACCAAGTAAAAAAAAAATAAAGGAAAAAGTACTCACTCTCCAGTTGACGAGAAGGGCTAAGTACGTCTCTGCCCGAAATCATACCGTTCCAACAGAAAATGAAATCCCACGAACAGAGGTAACAAATATGACGGCGTTGCCGCGTTTTCAGTTTTTAGGTAAACGTACTTTATAGGTATTGTTCGAAGTTATCGCCGTTTGATTCAAAACCACAGGTGCGTGCACGACGTAGCCAAGCATCGGTGCAGGCTTTGAGAATGGAGTCCCTCCTCATTCAAAAACTCACGCACTTCGCGTCTAGAATGGGGCGGTGCACCATCGTGCAGAAACCACATTGATTGTCTTACACTTAATGGCACATCTTCTAACAAGGAAGGCAAAATGTTGCGTAAAAAGTCTAGGTATTGCATCCCGTCCAATCGATTTGGGAGAATAAATGGTCTAATGAGCATACCGTTCACCATGCCAGCCCAAACATTCACCGAAAATGTTTGTTGAAAATCTGCCCGACCGACAGCGTGCGGATTTTCTACTGACCAAACATGAGTGTTGCGAAAGTTATTCACCCCATTACGCGTGAACGTAGATTCGTCTGTCACCAATATGCACTTCAAAAAGTCCGGATTATTGTCATGTTGATGCAACAACCACTCACAAAACCGTACTCTTGCTGGAAAATCGTCAGGTTGAAGGGCTTGTACACGTTGGACGTGAAACGGATACAGCCCCTCTTCACGCAGCGTTTGCCACACTTAAGTTTTTGATACTTGCACTTCTCTAGCCACATCTCTAGTGCTTGTTGAGGGATTCTCGTCTACGCGATTACCTCTACACGCGTGACCGTAACCGTCGTTTGAAGGTTGCATACTGACCTGACACACTGACCCCGACCCAGTTCTGTCGTCGGGTTGAACCAGTGACCTTGTACCACTCGGTGATGTCGCGGGTTGCGGCTACAGGACGGTATTCAGATATTTTTGATGTTGCAGAGCCCTTTATCTCGGTTCCCTTAAGACATTGTTGTATATGGTACTAAGAAAAATTGCTTATGTTTTCGAAATCTACACGTCGTGTAAAGGAAAACCCCAACTTCGCGGACACCCTGTATATATATACATATATATATATATATATATATATAACTTGAGACGTGGTCATTGTCGTCTAGACCAGTTAGGTGAAAAATTAAAGCTTCCGCCTTTGCTTAAATTTTGTCGAAGTACCCAACAAAAGGCGGAAGCTTTAATTTTTCACCTATATATATATATATATATATATATGCTAGTAGTAGTCATTGCCATTGCCAACAACCAGTTGGGCAAGAAATACAATCAACTGTTAATTGGGAAATTGGCAAAAAAAAATTTATAGGCTTTAGTAATCTCTTTTAACGCTAATCTCGAGCTTTCGGTTTCTCTATGGAACCATCTTCAGGCGTCGTCGCTGAGGTTGCAGCCAAATGGTGTTTCAAAGCGAAAGCTTGAATGAGAGCGCTTGTTGCAATTATAAAAACAAAAGGACGGACACATTGGGTTTATTGATAACGACGGAAACCATCTAGTGTCCCTTCTAACGTCCTACATCTGTTTCACGTGGAGAAAAAAAAAGATATAGAGATTTCTTATTTCGATAATGGGTAACGAAGGTTTGCGTAAAATCGAAATACAGAAGGTCATAACAAAGCAACAAAATAAGAGCACTGAAAACTTTCTAATACGGGTCTTTTTCCAAGCCCAGAAGGTTACCTTCCTAATTGGGTGACTGACTACCACTAAGGCAGCCGCAGGACCAAAACAGCTTTCTTGATGAGCATCTGTGTAATGGTGTAAGTCATTTCTATGCTTTGTACCTCTGATACCCACACTATATTATTATAATGTTGATCTTTTAATTATGAAAACTAGTCCAGGTGTTACCTTGCTGACACATCCACCCATAATACCGTTGTATATCCTTCAAGAGAGTCTAAAAGCTTTTCCCTAGATTTAAACCCTCTAACTCCAGGATTCTCAATGTAACTTCCGCGTCATATTCTAAAAAGTTGTCCCTCTTATCCGTCTCCCTCAATATTGCTAGTCACCAACAAATGTCTCTCATGCTAAATTTTGTACTGTACTGAAAAATGCTGTCGTTTCAGTAACTGCTACTGAAACAAGATCTAGGAAAAGTCGTGCTTTGTGTCGATTTCCTCATGAAATCCCTTATCCATGATCCGCGATCAAATTAAAAAAAACTCTGCCTGAAATCCGATCCGACCATATAAAGGTCACTATTGATCAATCCAATTAGGAAAAACAATGTTCCAATTAGAAAAAGTCATTAACCCCGTTTTTGATTCGCTAACTGTGTTTAATAATGCTTCATGGAAGTCAAGACTTTCCCTTTGCTACCTAGGTGCTCTTTCTTGTGTTGCAGATACCGTCAACCATGCAGTATCTGCTTTTGCCTAGTAACAATTAGCAATCTTTTAATCATGTATAAGGGAAGGACTCATTAGGAATTGGTACAGTTATTTTAGTCTTAAAGTAATTGTACATTGATGCATTATAAATCAGTGAGCTATACCAGGGTTTCCCAACCTTTTTTTGTTGAGGCTCCCCAGACTATAAATTATATTTTCATGCCTTTCTTCACTTTTTCAATAAATACAAAAAAGCACATTATATAGGTACAAATACTTTTATTTTGATTCTAATAAAGAAAATTTGAAAGTTTAAATAAACTAATAAATGTTTTTTATCGAAAAACTTGCATGAAATAAGAGTAGGAACTAATGAGACACTTGAGATTGCTTTTTCTGTACCAGTTGGTTGATTCTAGGTTCTGTTTTTGCAAGAGCCATCATCAGGTCGCTATCGACATCAAGACGATTTCGCTGTTTAGTTTTAGTTAAAACTAGAGCAGAAAAGCAAGAGAGGCAAGTGTCGAATTAAGAGTCAATCTTTTGATCCAAAATTTCTCCAATGTTAAAAGATGGAAGTCATCTGGTAATTGTGACACATCGACAATAAATGGATTTCTTGTCATGTGCCATATTGGTGACTCTGCATTGATATCTCGATAGTAACGGCGAAATTCGTCTTCCAGTGCTTGCAAATGAGTTTTTATGACAGCTTTTAAATTTGCGTCCAGTATATAAACTGCGATTGACGACGAAGGGTTTTGAAACACCGCTGGCAGAACAAGTGAATATGATGTTTAATTTTATGCGTGTAAATAATAATAATAATAATAATAATAATAATAATATTTATTCGCCAAAATACAAAAAATGGGCGAATAAATATGAAAAAACCACAGAAGGCATCGCCTGTGTGTGGTTTATATCTTAATAACTAACAATCAATCATATATGTGTATAACAATTATTGTTAAATCTAAAAGGTATTAATGTAATTGGAATTTTGTAGTTTTAGTTTTCTATATAATTATGTACGTATAGTCATTCGCTGCACATTACTAACCCAGTCTTTCAATTTTCTTCTAAATTTTTTTCCAAAATTACGTATCTTTATTTCGTTTGGTACTACATTATATAATTTTTTGAATAATGTTTTGTGTGGTCTTTGGATATTAGATGAGCCTATTCTAAATCGTGTGTTATGCTCGTGTTTATAGGATTTTTTCTTTTTATTACAATACTTATGGTATAAGGTGGTGGCATGTAAGAAATAAAGTTGTCTTGTATCAAGTATCCCTGTTTCTTGATATAAGTTGTTCGTTGGATATAATCTTGGCTTATGGAAAATGGCTTTCAAACCAGTGTTTTGTGCTATATTCAGGTCAGAAATATATGTCTTGCAGGCGGCACCCCAGGCTGTGATGCCGTATATTATATGGGTTTCAACTAGGGCATGGTATAGGATTCGCAGATAACTTTCTGTAAGAATGTTACCAAGCATTTTGAGTTTATAGGCAACATTTCTAATTTTTTTGATAACATATTTAATATGGTTATCCCAACTTAGATGTGAGTCTATAAATATTCCAAGATATTTCAAAGTGTTAACTCTATCGATTT